AAAGACCGATGATCTTATGAGACCATTGGTCTCGGTCTCAATCCAATCTTTTTCAAAAGACTGCTAAAGATCGGACCAGATCGGACCAGATCGGACCGTTCCCAACCCTAATTCCGACCACTGATTGAACTATCAAGAAAACCTAGTCTGTGCTTTTTACGGTAAGCGTAAATCATTATTCAAGCCACCGATCATGTGCTAAGATTGCCGATCATAGTCACACGTGATGTCACTAGAACTACTAAAACATAACGCGAAGTCGCGAATTCTTGAAATAATACTTTTTTTACTGATTCTTTATATTCCAATGCCATTAGAACCACAAGTCGAATAAGCCTTCAATAACTACAGATTCAAGCACATAAATCACAAAAATTTTAGCTTCTACAGAAGTACGGATGTGCAATGATGGTCGTTTTACTCTTATTATATCTCTATCATATATTCTGATGATCCGCCGAGTACTTTTAGCGAGTGCATTAGCAGGTGAACAGCAAGCCTTAAAGGTATAAAAAACATCGCCATACCCCGAAACCGATCGTAAACTTCGTAAAAATGCTGTTAGAATATGACAAGGTGAGTTATGTTTTACTTGTATACGATTATCATACATTATTAACTTTAATTGGTCCAAAGAATCTGGTATCCTGCGAAAAGCTTGTGAGAAACGGTTTGAAGCTCATCTTCTAGCGTCTATTTCGAGTGCAATAGTGACGTTGAGTGGGGTGACCCAAGTCAACAATAAACAGGCAGCTGAAATATTGGCCAAAAGCAATGATGAAAGAATGCCACCACTCGAAGTTGATTATGATCCCTCATCATCTAAAGATGGTTATACTACGGATTCGGATTCATCATCACCTAAAGACAATTATATTATAGATTCAGATTCTGAAAAATCTTCCCAGGTGTCGATAGCAATGAAAAACGAGATAAACTGCATATATCGAAAGATGGAAACCAGATCAAAGTGGCACCTATCAATAGGCAAATGTGTTGAAGACGCATTGTTTGATTTTGGAATGGCTGCGGACTATGAGCAGTAAGTAGCTCAACTGTTTGTTCGATCTTGTGTTGTTCATTATGTTAATATTGAATTTTTACAGTCTCGCTCACTCATTCATTATCAACCTAGATGATGAAACGTACAATTCAATATTTACTGAAGAGGAGCTTAATGAAATTCGGACTTACAACAGTAAAGAACTTCCTGAAGTACCAGATTATCTTCTCGAATATCTATTGAAATATGAAAAAGTAAGAGTATAAACACTCAATGTATGCTTGTTTATACACATATTGATATTTGTTTTTTTAATTCAAGGATTCGTTAGAGGAGTTGAGGGAGGTCCTAACAGAAAAGGAATCCTGGGAAGGAAGAAACTATGACAAAAGCAATCATTTTAATTTTGAATGGATAAAAAGATCAATGCATAATCTGTGAGTAATAATAATCGCACAATTTTGAAAGTGATAATTTGAGCTTACATAACATTTTTTCCCGTTTAATTGACCAACCAAAGAATAAACGAATATGATAACGGCAATTTAAAATCTGGTCGTCACGAAAACTGGTATCTCGTTCACTTCTGGAATTTAATTGACAATTCATTATCGGATTTGGGCAGTGTGTAAAATCTATGTGCACAATGTGCACATGTGCACATTAATTTTTTGTGTACACATATTACACAACATAAAATGTGCACAAATTATTACTAAAAATAGATAAATTATGTACAAAAAAGGTAATTTTACATAAGAAAATGTTATGATTTTCTTATTTTAGTAATAATTAATCAACTTGTGCACATAAATTTTAATTTAGATTTTATACACTGGATTTGGGTAATGTATATAATGCTCGTGGTGAAATGTCTAGTCACGCAAGCGCTAATAGAAAGAACTATCACCGAACATCACAAGGAATTACCCCTTGGAAAGAAAAAAACTTGGACGCAAAGGTGATCTAATTATTAGGAAAAATAAGCGAGAGTATAGATGTTCAGAGGCTGGGAGATACTTTAAAGGAATAAACGACACAAAGATTTTAAAGGAAAGGGGACTTAAGTGTCCTAAGATATTGAAAGACATCTTTGTTGATCTTGGTAATGCAGTAAGATGGGAAGCCGAAACAGTAAGGCAGATGGAAGTAATTAGCTGGATTCATGCTGGTTTGTATCTATATTATCTATATTTATACTTCAATTCGTATTAACAACCTGTTATTCTTTCAGAACTAATGATGATGTTAATGTGACTTGATAATCCAAGTGGCTATATATGTCGCATCACAAGGACACCATTATATCAAATAGCCGAAGAAGCTGGCCAGTTCGGGGAGAACCTGGAATTTTTTACCCTGGTATTGAAAGCTAAATCCATAATCAAGAAAACTATATCATTGGTTGAAGGTAAAAAGACTTCAAAAACGAAAAGTGAATGAAAACGAAAACTCCAGGAAGTAGGTAAAAGATCTACAGTTATGACTAATGCACAAATATATGATTGTTGCAACTCACCAATTAAAAAGAAAAAGATAATTTTATAAACCTAATCGTGGTAAATTTATAGCACTACGCAAATAAAGCATTTAATAGTCTACCACTAATATTTTTTAACTTGTGTGTGGTATATATATCGCTTCTTTTACTCCGATCTAAAAAGTGAACGTGTGTTTATTTTACATGTAAAATCATATATTACATTTGCTTTTGCTATATACATAATGCACGATAAATGATAACAGTAAATTAAAAACCCTAATCCTAATTCTCTTCTATTTGAGTACCGCCGTAATTAATAATAGTAACATTGATAACGTTTGCATTTTGAGAAAATGATGGTGTTACTGGTCTTAGATTAATCAAATAATAACGGTGGCTTAGTTGCCTTTATCTGATTAGCCGATCATCTCGTGATTTCGGTGACTAGTGTCGAAGAAGTGTTGTGAAACTGACGATGATTCCTATACGTCATACTCTGATTAATGGATCTGAGAATAATTTAGCCATTATATTATCTCGGAACTAATTTAACCGAATTATACCATCGGAAAATCTCTTACATGCATGTGAATATGCACATTTCCAGATGTGGACTTTATATAAACCTCTGATAATATACTTGTAATCAAATAAAAAAAATGAATCCGATATTTTATTATAATATACTTGCTACTTGCTACAAACTGCTATAATGCTAAATATTCACTAGAAAACGCTTTTTATCACTATAATTGCTATAAGTCTTATTTATTGTCTGTGATCATATATAATCATCAAATATGTCTGGAATAATAATTAAGATCATTTTAGATAATATTTATAATAAAGCTGTATCAATCTCCGTCCTGGATATGATATGAAACATGTTGCTAACTATTATCGTGGTCATTTAAACGAACGGTTTAAAAAAGTGATTGAAATAGAAAAGCAATATGATTATTTATCTATCATTAGACCTCATGAAACACCTCAGCAATGGACTAATTATGTAAGATATTTTCTACAAGAATTACTTTCTAAGCGAGAATATAGTTTATATTATGTGTATAGCCTTTTTGCTTCATTCAGGCAAGTAGAATCCAAAACATACTGTATTAACAGTGAGCTATATGAAGATTGCTTTGGCTATTGTAGACCTAGTATTCACAAAAGTCAGATGGCTATCTGTTTCAAATGCTAGAAATTGGTAAAGTTTGCTGAAGTAAAGCCTAGAAAAGTATATTATGATGGATGACGTTGTTAATCTTAAAAACAGTTCGTCGTTAAGTTAACAATGATTATTTGCTAACAGGAAGTTTAATTACGTCTAAACTATGAAAGAAATAAACACGAGTT